TCGCATGCGGTTCCCCCACCCAGGGCAGCGTTTCGTAGCCCCATAGGGAGCTCCACCGAAGGCCCGCCCCGGTGGCGCAGTCCGCATGCGGTTCCCCCATCCAAGGCAGCGCTTCGTGGCCCCATATGGAGCCCCACCGAAAGCGGCACCCACAACGCGTTAGCAACAATTGCTTATGGTTGGGTCTTTCGCCAGGATAATTTTTTGTCTGCTTTCCCCAAAATCATCATCTGGTGCTGGTTTTCGTGTGGAAGAGACTCCTGTCCGCCTCTTCCTTCTTTCCCTCCTTCCCCTCCCCTCCTCCCTGCCCTCCGCATCTCTGTCCACGCCCCTCGCACATTTCGTGGCCCCATACAAGAGCACCACCCAAAGCCCAAGAGTCATGCTCCCACCGCACCCGTCTTCGCACGCCCGTCACATGTTTCGTGGCCCCATAGCGAGCCCCACCGACAAGCCCAACTGCCAGCATTCGCATGCGCCCACCGCGCCCATTTTGGTACACCCCTTGCACGTGGCCCCACAGGGATCCACCGAAAGGCCCAAATTGCAGACTTCGCATGCGCCCACCGGACACCCGTTACACGTTTCGTTGCTCCATAAAGAGCCCCACCGGAGGCCCACATGCCAGCGTTCGCATGCGCCCACCGCGCCCATTTTTGGCACATCCCTTACACCTTTCGTGGCCCCGCAAGGAGCCCCACCGAAGGCCCAAGTGCCAGTGTTTGTATGCGCCCACTGCACGCATTTTGGCACACCCCTCACAGGCTTCGTCGCACCATTGGGAGCCCCACCGAAGGCCCAAATGCCAGCGTTCGCATGCGCCCACCGCACTCATTTTGGTACGCCCTGTCGCTGCGCGCAGGGCCGCGACTCTAGAAAGTGTGCGCGTGTGTGTAAGTGTGTGCGCGTGTGTGTGTGTGTGTGTGTGTGTGTGTGTGTGTGTGTGTGTGTGTGTGCGGGCGCCCCCCCGGCGGACCATCGCGCCTTCCGCACGGTCCAGCTACCTGCCGCTCGCCAGACAGGCGCGACAGCTGCGCCTCGCACGCATGCCGATCGCCACGCCCGTTCGGCGAGCCCTTCGGCCCACCCCGCGCCCCCTGCACGGCCTCTCGCTGCCACGACCCCGACACCCCGTGCTCTTGACGACGACGCAGGCGGTTCTGCCGGGCGCTCTGGGAGGTTTCCCTGTGCAGCGCCCGGCGCTGCCTCCGGAGCCGCCGCTCTCGATGAAGACTACGACTCCGCCCCTCTGCAGGCTCCCAGCCTTCACTGCGTCTTCGCCCCATGCGCCGCTCATCCTCGGAGCCCGCGCCCCCATCGCGACGTTGCCGCGGCCCCCCTCCTGGAAGACGTCGCCTACTTCGAGGAGCTGCCCCAGAACCCGCCCACTCGGTGCCCGCGCCGACACCCCTCCGCGGGGCCTGGGCGCTCCAGGCGTCTGCAGGTCTGGGGCGCTACGCCACCAGGCGCTGAACAAGCTTCTGCTCGCCGCGAATGGCCCCACGGCCCCCGGGCGCGCTGGGTGCCTCGCGCCTACTCGTAGGACTCAGCCCTGCGTGCCCGCCACGCGCGGTCCGCTGAGAGTTTCCCGGCGTCCATCGCCGCCTCGGGTGGCCGTTCTATGGGGTCAGCCTTGGCCCCCGCGGCCCGCTGCTCTCCTCGGACGGTGTCAGAACGCTCTCAGCGTCCGCGCCCCCCCTGCCTCCAAGCCTCTCTTCTTCGCGGCCCGCCGCGCTTCTCCAGCCTTTTGGCCGCCGCTCGGGTCTACCGATCGGGCCGCCCCTTTGAGCCTCCCCCTCGCTCCGCCCCGCCCCGCCCGACTCTTCCTGGCCCGCTGGTCTCTCCAGCGCGCAACGACCTCTACGGCTCCAGCTGCCCGCCTCTGGCTCTCTGCCGAGGCTTCCCGCCCGAAAAACTTTGGCGTGGCTCCGGCTGCGCCACCGTGCGCCGCTCTTTTACGCCCGCCGCCCTGGCGCGGCGTCGCCTTGCTGCTGCCCCGCCCCGCCTCCACCACCCGCGGCCCCCGCCCGCCCGCTGCCCCGCCGCCCCCGCGGCCGCTGCCCGCTGCCTGCTCCGCTGCCTGCTCCGCTGCCGCCCGGCCGCTGCAGCGCGAGGGGCTGGCCGTATCTCCTGTCCTTTGATTCCCAACGCCACTGCGCGCCCTCTGAGGGGTGCCCGGCTCGCTGGTGAGTCTCCGCGCCGCTACGATATATGTATGGGAAGCCCCTTCCCTTTGATCCCTCCCCCGCCGAGGGGGGGGGTCCCGGGGGGTTCCGGAGGGGGGGTCAAATACGCATCCGCCCCTGGGCGGAGGGCAAAAAAGCGCCAAGACGCGCCAAGAGGGCCCCAAGAAGGCCCAAGAAGAGGACCACGAACCGACATTTCGAGCTTCCCGCCCCAAGAAGCCCCACAAGGAGCCCGAAGAGGCCCCCAAGAGACCCCCAAGAGGCCCAACTGAAGCCTCAACAGGCCCCAAAACATTCAAGAGGCCTTTCAATCACAACCCCAGCACGGTGGCGGGAAGAGCCGCAGGCCACAAGGCTCCCTGTCCGTCTCTGCTACGACTCCTTCGGCCCACATGGGGAACATCTCCTTCGGATTCTCCTGCTCGATTCCACCTTACTCCCCCTCCTCCCCCTCCTCCTCCTCCTCCTCCTCCTCCTCCTCCTCCTCCTCCTCATCGTATTCGTCGTCGTCGTCGTCTTCAGTGTCGGCGGCGCTGGCCGTATGTATGGCCATAACAATATATATATATATATATACATATATATATATATATATATATATCGATGTTTGGTGTGTATACAAATATGCGTATATGCATATCTCTATATCCATGCATGCGCGTGTGTTGTGTTGTGTTGTGTTGTGCTGTGTTGTGTTGTGTTGTGTTGTGATGTGATGTGTGTGTGTGTGTGTTGTGTGTGTGGGTGTGTTCCAGACCGCTACGCCACCTGGCATTTCTTGTACTTGCCGTATCTGTGTACGTCCGCATGTCTTGTCGTGCTACTCCATGGCTCGCTGCCCGTGTAAGCAAGTGCTCCAGCACACACGTACAAAATCTTCACGGTCTGAGCGTGCTCCGCCGCCCGCGGCTTCCTCACCCCCCCTGCGCCCCGTCTTTTCTTTCCCTTGTGCCCAATTTGGCTCCGATGTGTCCCTCCGCTATCTCTACCGCTTCTTGGACTCACGTTACCGTTGGCAGAAACGTGTTCCAAACCGTATCCCAGACGGCCGTTTCCTTCGGGAACTCAAACACAGCTCGTTCATCTGTGACTTCTGTAATGGGGGTCCGTGGGGAGGCGACCGGACCCGCGACTTCGTAGCGCCGAAGATGCGATGCGAGCTCGCGCAAGCGGAAAAACGCAAATGGCACTGTCGCCTGCTTCCTAATGAGTAGAAGTGCGCGTGCTGCGGAGAGATCCATCTGGAAGATGATCCCGGCTCCGACCGTTCGCTTGGCGTGTGAGGTCGGTCCTTGCCGAGGGGGACCGCGACGAACAGCAGCGCCCTGGTACCCTACTGGCGGCCATGCTTCCATTGACCTGCGACTCCAGACCGCGCCGCCATAATGCCCGTGCCGTCCTAGCTGACCCGTAATGACAAGTTCGACGTCGTTTCTTAATGGAACTGGGGACTCAAGGCGCGGTGCGACGCTTGCCACAAGACCGCGGACAAGTCCCTGAACATGAATCCCAAGGGCCTTCTGCTTCCGCGCCACCGCTCACGCAAAGGTGAAGCTACTTTTTCAGAATGGCCACCCTCGGCTGGCCAAGCGGGAAGTGGACGGCTTGAGGGAGTCTGGAACGGCTGGCGCCAATGCCTCGATTGCCGGGGCAAGTCGCAGCAGGCCGCCCGCGCCAGGCGGGACCAAGATCGTCGAGGCAACGCGCGCCAAGGGAAGCCTCCCACCCCAGGTCGATCGTCTGCGGCGGGGCGCCGCCCCTCCGCCAGCCAAGAAGGGGCGCGCGAGAAGAGCCCCCGTCCCTCCCCGGGGACGACAAGACCGTGAGAACGGACTTGGCGGCAAGGGGGCCCCTAAGCGAAGGGTGGATCCGTCCTGCGGCGATGCGACCCTGTCCTCGACGGCCGAATGGCCTGCCTCAATGATGTCTTGGAGAACCCTGTTGTGTTAGACGTCTATGCTGAACTTGTGCTCCAACACCAACGGTGCGTGTCCAATTCCGAACAGTATACGGCTTTCCCGGATTTGTGCGTATTGACAGAACCACCGAGCGAGACTTGCTGCTCCAACGGGCTACTATCGGACATTTGCCAATTGCTATATGTGGCGTCCAAAGGGCGTCGCAAAAGCCATGCAGTACCACTTCAACGCGCAATTCATATGACGTGGACGTGGGCTCACCAGAATACGAAACGTCTGTAGTCTATACACTGCGAACGCAGATCCGAACCAGTGTTGAAAGACGGCAACACTGTACGTGTGAAAAACCATGAACACTGAAGCATGGAAATCGGTCAACACGGATGTTCGACGGCAATTCGGGATCTTCCTTTCTTACAAACCGCGGTCCGAGGCGGCAGCTGCTTATCTGTTGGCCCGTTTATGAAGCATAGAAACCAAGACAACTGTCGCATAGCATAGCATTGCGTGGCGCATCGGATGGACGCCTAACGCGTTCTATGTACTGAAACCTCATACGTATTGCTTGCGCGTTGCTGGCCGCGTCGAAATAACACCGCGAAGCCCGCCGGAATGTTGCGTGCGTGCCCTGCCCCTCTTCCTTCTCCTGAGCTGTCGTCCTCCCCCGTCCCTCCACTCCCCGTGCTCCTGCCTCTTCCGTCGCTCGTGCAAGTTCCCCCGCGGGCCACTGGAACTTCGGAAGTGCCAGCCCGTGCTCGTCCAGCCTGCGACTGGCCGACGTTGCCCAATCCACGTCGCCTCGGTCTTGGCACGGATCGCTTAGTGCCGTCACCAGAGCAGCCTGCGCAGAGAGATGCCCGAGGAAATGACAACCCCAATCAACTCGTTCTCCCTCGTGCCATGCTCGGGCGCCTTGCGCTGCCCCCCCAAATCCCCTCGTGGAATGGCAGCGGTTGCCGTATGGTGCCTTCTCCCGCGGCGCTCTCCATCAATTTGATCGCCTGGCTGGCAGGAGGAGGAGGAGGAGGAGGAGGAGGACGAGGAAGAGGAGAAATGATAAAGGGGATAAGCACGAGGACGAGAGCGAGGAGCGGAATCATGAGGCGAGGAGGGGGCGTGAAGGCGGACGGAGGAGTAGGAGGAGGCGCAGGATTGACATAATGAGCAAGATGAACACGAAAACGATGATGATGATGATGATGATGATGATGATGATGATGATGATGATGATGATGATGATGATGATGATGATGATGATGATGATGATGATGATGACGAAATGGAGGAGGAGGAGGAGGAGGAGTAGGGAGAGGAGAGGGTAAGAAGGAGGAGGAGGCGAGGAGGAGGCTGGGGCGCGAAGCCACAACGGTGCAGAAACCCTCCCAGCTTGGCGCCCCGCTGGCCAGGGCAGGGGAAGCGCGATGGCATCTTGAAGTTCTATGCCAGAGGAAGCGAGGAGGAGGAGGAGGAGGAGGAGGAGGAGGAGGCGGAGGATGGAGGAGGATGAGGAGGAGGAGAAGGAGGAGGAGGAGGAGGAGGAGGAGGAGGAGGAGGAGGAGGAGGAGGAGGAGGAGGAGGAGGAGGAGGAGGAGGAGGAGGAGGAGGAGGAGGATGGAGGAGGAGGAGGAGGAGGAGGAGAAGGAGGAGGAGGAGGAGGAGGAGGAGGAGGGGGAGTAGAAGAACGAGGAGGAGAAAGAGCAGTACAGGGGAGACGAGGACGAGCAAAAGGAGGAGGATGACGAGAATGAGGATAAGGATGATGATGATGCTGATGATGATGCTGATGATGATGAGGAGGAGGATACGGAGGAGGACGATGAGCAGGAGGATTACGCAGAGAACGAGGAGGCGAGGATGATAAAGACAAAGAGAAGAGAGATTTAGCAAGCACCGCTTCCCTCTACCCCATCATGCCGTCTTACCCGTGAGGCAAGCATCTCTTCACCGTGATCGCAAGACGCTTCGAAGACCTTCCTTTGAGGATCTCGCGCCCGAATCCGCTAGATTTAGCGGTGGGGTGACCCAGCCATGACTTACCAAGATTTTCTTACCTATTACGGCGTTGTGAATGCCTTGCGTTGAATACGCATAAACACGAGCTGGCCACTCGAACACCCGTAAGGCGATACGCTTATGCTTTAGCTCTGGGACGGCTCGGACCTTCTCTGACAACGCTTATCCAGAACAGCCTGTCGGAAGGGGCTTTGCCGCAACTCCTGCAACTCCCGGACTAGGACTGACTGGGACACATCGGACCAAGACAACTCGGGGATCTCTGTGTTCCAGCGTGTCCAGAGGACGTATCGGGCGCCACGGCCGTTTCAGGAGCGTTGCAGAACGCTCTGGAACAAATCATCCTGGTCCTAGCCCCTCCCGACAGACAGATCTCGCGTCGTCGTCGTCGTCGTCGTTCATGGTCGGCGGCACCAGCCGTAGAGCCTCTCCTATAATCCTGGTCCTAGCCCCTCCCGACAGACAAATCTCGCACCGCCAACAAGACCGGAATCCACATCCACTCTATCGTGCGAGGCGCTCGCGGTGCATGCACAGGCGCCTTCGGCGGCGGAGCATGACAAATTCCAGACGGGGCGAAGCCAGGCCAGGCCCCGCAACGCCGCGCCGCGAGCTTGCAGACAGACTTGGGGATTTCGACCTGGAGGCCGACAGCTCCATCCGCCGCTCTGGAAAGGCCGCGGATGCATGCGGTCACCATCTTTGGCAGCATAGTCGATCAATCGTCCCGTACCTTGCAAGAGCGATCAAGGGCAGTCAACGCGATAAGTTTTCGCCTTTTGCAGGCAGTTGAGGTCGGGGACTGGCGGTGAAGAGCTGAAACCCAGCGTAATGTAATGCTTTCAAACTATACTTGCTGCCTGCGCGCGCGGTGCCAACCACGCGGAGCATTGAGGCAGCCAATGTAGCCCTCTGAGGGCCCATGTGCAATGTGGCACGCGACTCCGGTGGAGCTATGCTCCCCAGCCTTAGATATCTTGGCCCGCTCTTGCCCCGACGTTGAGACTAAACGAGTCCCCTGGGATTCCAAAGCAGCAGTGCCCCAGCCGGCCCTCTTGAGCCCCCTGACCGCATCACGCATAGTTCAATCGGTCCCTATCCCCACAGGCGTGGCCTTGACCCCAGTGGCCGACCTACCTACCCAGGTGGGGATATATGATCCAGGTCCCGGCCAGGAGCCCATCCCCCCCTAACAATGCTGATGGCCTTGGGCCTTCCCCCCCCCCCCGATGGGCCTGGGTCCCCCCCCCCCTGTGAGTGTGGTGTGGCCTGTGGCCTGTGAGTGTGGGGTGGTGAGGGCCGTCGTCGTCGTCGTCGTTTTCGTCTTCGTCGTCGTCGTCGTCGTCGTCGTCAGAGTCTTCAGACTCGGCATCGGTATCCGCATCGGCATACGCATCGCCGTCCCAGGCATGACGTAAAACTGCTACACTTGACGGCGACGACGGCGGCGGCGACGACGACGACGACTACGGCGACGACGACGACGGCGACGACGACAACGGCGGCGACGTCGTCCCCCCATCCCATCTGAGGGGGAGTGGGGGGGGCCCGCCGAGTCCTGGGACCCATCCCATCTTGGGGGGGGGGGGGGCGCCGGACCGGTACCAGGGATCATCTCTGCCTGGTCCTTCGGGCTTCGCGCGGCCTATCCCCACCGAGGGGTTGGGCTGGTGGGGCTGAGACACCATGGCCCGGTGGAGACGTGGATCGAACACGGTCGGTAAGTCTTGCTCAGCGTGTCGCTGCGGCGGTCCCGGCGACGCGCTGTGCGCCTCAAGCGGGGATAGCGTGTCGCTCCGCCTCACGGGGCGGGAAGATAGGAGGAGCTCGGGACCTTGACGCCTGGGGACTCGGACGTGGACAGCGTGTCGCGCCGAGGCGTGGTGGGCCAGAACCCGCGGAGCGACGCGCGAAGCCAAAGTTCCCGACCGTAGACGGTGCTGACATGTGTTTGCGAAAACGATCCTACCAAACAAACCAAACAAAACCCTCCTTGCCTGGTTTGCTGTTCGCCCCTCTTCCCCCCCCTCGCTCCCCTGGCGGCTCTGGTGTAGGGAGGCCTGCGTCATGGTGCGGAAGCCGAGGCACAAGAGCCGCTTCCTGGCCCCTCCTCCTCTTCCTCCTCCTCCTCCTCCATCTTTCTCCTGACTTCTCCGCATCTTGCTTCTGCTGGTCCCCGCCACTTCCTGCTCCTCCTTCTGACTCTCGCCGCGGCGCCGCTGCTATTCCCAGTCCCACTCCCGAACCCGTCAATTTTCCCCTAAGCAATGCTGGCACTTAGCGGTTCTTGCTTGTCTCCCGAAAGAATTCGTGCACTGGGTGGGTCCAGCAAGCTCGGCAAGTTTTCGCCACGCTGCCGCCCGTTGCCGGCCGCTGCTGCCTCGTTGCCGCCTCTTGCGCTGGGTGGGTCTGGTGAGGTTTTGCCACGTTGCCTCCCTTTGCCGCCTTGTTGCCACCTCGTGTGCTGGGTGGGTCTGCGAGATGTCGACAGGTCGCCGCCTATTGCCGCCTCGTTGCCGCCTCGTGGGCTTGGCGGGTCCAGCGAGGTTTGGCGCGTGTGCTGGGGGGGTCTGGCGAGGTTTCGCCACGTTGCCGTTTGGTGCCGCCTCGTTGCCGCCTCGTGGGCTTGGCGGGTCCGGCGAGGTTTGGCGCGTGTGCTGGGGGGGTCTGGCGAGGTTTCGCCACGTTGCCGTTTGGTGCCGCCTCGTTGCCGCCTCGTGGGCTTGGCGGGTCCGGCGAGGTTTGGCGCGTGTGCTGGGGGGGTCTGGCGAGGTTTCGCCACGTTGCCGTTTGGTGCCGCCTCGTTGCCGCCTCGTGGGCTTGGCGGGTCCGGCGAGGTTTGGCGCGTGTGCTGGGGGGGTCTGGCGAGGTTTCGCCACGTTGCCGTTTGGTGCCGCCTCGTTGCCGCCTCTTGCGCTGGGTGTGTCTGGCGAGTTTTCGCAACGTTGCCGCCAGTTGCCGCCTCGTCCGCTGGGTGGCTTCGGCGAGGTTTCGCCACATTGCCGCCCGTTGCAGCTTCGTTGCCGCCTTTAGCTTGCACCGCGTATACTGCACCACAAAGCTTACAACACATCGCTTGCACCACACATCGTGTACATCCACAGTGCAGTAACTTATTATATTTTGCTGGGTGCTGGGGTCCACGCGAGCTAACCTATGTGACGACGACGTGGGTTTATCCGATATGATATGTATTTCCCAACCATCTTGTGGTGTTGGGTCCTCGTTTTGAAGAGACGGTCCCCGCGTTCTCCTCCCGCCTCCTTCCTCCCTCCTTCTCCCCCTCCTCCCTACTCCGCCTTCCTCCTTGCGTTTCACCCACCCAATACAACGTTTCGTAGCCCCATAGGGAGCTCCACCGAAGGCGCCAATAAGAAGGCTCGCGTGGCGAAGTCGGGCAATCTCGGCACACCCCTTACGAGAATCGCCAATTGCAAAGTACGCATGGCTGCCCTGGGCCTTTTCGGCACACCCCTCACGAATATCGTGGCCCCATAGGACCTCCACCGAGGGTCGCACTGGCAGGGTTCGCATGGCGGCTTCGGGCATTCTCGGCACATCCCTGACGAGGATCATGGCCCCATAGGAGCTCCACCGAAGGCCCCAGTGGCAGGGTTCGCATGGCAGCCTCGGGCAATGTCGGCACACCCCTCACGAGGATCGTGGCCCCACAGGGAGCTCCACCGAAGGCGCCAATACGAAGGTTCGCATGGCGGCCTCGGGCCTTTTCGGCACACCCCGATCTCCACCGAATGCGCCAGTGGCAGGGTTCGCATGGCGGCCTCGGGCCATGTCGGCACACCGCTCACGAGGTTTGTGGCCCCATCTGACGGCCCCAGCGGCAGGGTTCGCATGGCGGCTTCGGGCCCTTTCGGCACACCTTTCACGAGGATCGTGGCCCCATAGGAGCTCCGCCGAATTCGCCAGTGGCAAGGTTCGCACGGCGGCCTCGGCCATGTCGGCACAGCCCTCACGAGGATCGTGGCCCCATAGGGAGCTCCACCGAAGGCGCCAGTGGCAGGGGTCGCATGGCAGCCTCGGGCCATGTCGGCACACCCCTCACGAGGATCGTGGCCCCATATGGAACTCCACCGAATGCCCCAGTGGTAGGGTTCGCATGGCGGCCTCGGGTAATTTCGGCACACCACTCACGAGGATCGTGGCCCCATATGAGCTCCACCGAAGGCGCCAGTGGCAAGGTTCGCATGGCGGCCGGACCTTTTCTCGGTCCTGTGTGCTCTCGCCCTGGGCCGTCGGCTGTGTGGCGCGCTGCTCCTTCGGCCGACATCGTTCAGGCGTGATCCTGGACTGCGGCCGCCACGAGGATGGGAGCGGCAAGAAGGAGGACGACGACAGGTGGCTGGAGCTCTACGCACATCTCTCGCGCGCCACGCGCCACGAAAACCTCCTGCTCATGCGGGCGCTGCGCATTGAGTTCTTCCCGGCAGGGCCGCCGGAGGGCTTGCGGAAACAGCTGGAGCAGTTTGCGGCGCGCACGAAGCGGCGCCACAGGGAGGTGACGGTCCTCGCCAGGGAGCTGGGCTTCACGACGTTTATCCGCGAGGCTTGACCTAAGGAGAGGCCCGCCCGAACCTCGCCGTCTCTCGGCGGCCTGACTGTTTGGCCTTGCGCCGCGGACGACCCGCGCGCGTCGCTCGGACCCTCTTGGGGCGATCAGCGCGCGTCGCGGGGACTCCATGCTGCGCTTTGCCCAGCGACTCACTCGCCCCCGTCGTCGGTTTGCCCAGCGGCCAGAGCGTTGCCCGCTATCAGCCAGCCAGCTAGCTCTCTCTGCTCCGCGCAGCGGACGTCGCCGGGACACCTTCGGGGCGACAGGCGTGCGTCGCGGGGACTCCGTGCGGCGCCGCACCCGCAGCGTTGGACATTGGCGTGCACGGGCAAAGGGGGAGACAAAAAAACGGGAAGGAAACGGGCGCGACCCTTGTGAGGGGCGTGCCGACATGGGCGTCGACATTCATGCACGTAGACTATCGCGCGCGCAGACTCATTCACAATCAGACTCGTTCGCGCTCGTGACTCACCCGCTCTCAGCCTCTCGCACACAGACCTATCGTCTTCGTTCGCGTTGTGTACCCCGCCACGCATTCCGGCACGCCCCTCGCACGGTTCGTGGCCACATAGAGAGCGCGGGCGAAGATGGTATTCACAATTGCGGTATTCACGACGTCATATGATTGGGACCTTCGCCGGGCTAATTTTTTGTGGCTGCCTCTTCTTTTTTGGGTTGTCTGTTTCCAGCTGGAACTTCTTCGTCGCTGACAACGGGCGCGTGCGCGTGCACGCGACATTTTAGATCATTGCAGAAAAAGCACGGGCCGCGTGCGTAGCTAGGTGCCGAGCACGTGCGTATGCGAAATGGGCCGAATCCAAGCCAAAAGACTTCCTGTCGGCATCCGGTCGCTCCGCGCAACGGCGCGCATACGCATGCGCGTACGCGTCCGATTGCGCCGAGTGCGCTAGGGAAACCAAAACATACCGATCCCGCTACTCCCCAGACCTCTCTCAGTGTGCTTTCTGAACTTATTGGCGAAGCGAATCCAGACGTGGCGAAGAGGGCCTCCCAGGAGGCCCAAAAAGACGAAAGCGAGAGAAGGGTACGAAGCGGTATGAGTACCCTTTTCTCCTCTGCTCCACTCCAGCCCAGACGTGTTCAGACCCCCCCAGTCCACTCCAGACGAGTTCTTTCCATCACAACCTCATTCAGTCAGTCCAACCGGATACAAATTCGTTCGCAACGTGCGTGCGCACGTTCTCGTGACCTGGGAATGTGCGACAACATCTGGCAGCTAAGTGTGCGCTCGCGGTGCAGCACCAAGCGCGCAGTGAACTACAACGTCAGCTACACGTAAGAGCGCCCCTAGTCAAGGGTGACCCTTGGTGCGTGGCATTAAGGCGAGACGGGATGGGGTCATATCCAAGCGCGCCAGCCAATGCTGGGAGGACCCCTGTGAGAACGCGTCTCAAATTACTCCGGGGAACGGTCACTCTTTCCCATAGACGACAACGTTGCCGCGAACTGTTGGTTCCCACTTGGAAATCCATACCGAAGATCAAATCCACTGGCCCTCCGTGGGGGCTAGTAGGCTGCGCGGAGACGGTTACAACAACTGAACAGCTGGGTCCTTATCCGTGCAATGGGGAAATTCGCACGCGACATAGAAAGAGTCCTAACAACTGAACGCTTAAGCAACCATGACTTCTCCTAAACTCATTCATCAAGCCTCGGAATCACGGAACTGCTCGACTTATCACTTGCTGTATCTCTAACTATTTTGACGTGCGCAACCCCCTAGGCCCAGAACGGGCATGTCTACCACCCCAGACCTGGACTTCCTCAGCCCCAGGGTGCTGTGGGGCACGTGCAGAACAATGGATCCGCGCTGCCAGCCGCGAACAGCTCCCGAGGCCACAGTCTGCTGTAAAAACAATGGATTCGCGACTCCCAGACCACGAACCCTTGAACAACAAATTGGGTCGCGTTCCCGAAAAGGCCCTCCACAAGCAAAAACTTATGATTTCTTGGAACTTCTGCAAATTCGCATGTTCGGCCTTCCGCAAGCCCAAGATGTCCCAAGAGGCCCCTGGACTCGCTCTAGGACGACCTAATGAGCCTCCAACAGCCCCCCATGATGGCCCAAAAGGGCTCCAAGACGGCCCAGGCCCAAGAAGCCTGCAAGACGACCCAAGAGGCCCCCAAGATGGCCCTAGCGGGGCTCAATATAGGGAACTCGAACAAGCCTTGGGAGAATTTCCATCCAAGATGGCCTCCAAGGCTCCCAACATACCCCCCATGAAGCCCCCAAAATGCCCCTGGAGGCCCTCAAGACGCTGGCAAACAACAAAACCCAAGAAGCCCATCATAATGCATCCCGGTTTACCCCTCCCCCTATTCCCTCCCCTGGACCTGGAGGGAGTGTTTCGCGAGGCGTTGGAGCGTCCAAGATGCCCCACGATGGCTCCAAGAGGGCCTCAAAGAGACCAAGATGACCTCCAAGATGGCTCAAGATAGCCTAAGAGGTCTCCAGACGGCTCCCCGAATACTCCTAGTGGCCCCAGGACCGCTCCAAGACGGCTCCAAGTGTCCACGGAACCTCACCAGGAAGCCGCCAAGCGGCCAGAATCCTTCAAAAACCTAAGGAACATCAATGAATTTGGCCTTCTCGCCTTTTTGCTGTCGATGGCCTGCCAAGGCCTCAAGATGGCTCCAAGAGGGCCCATGAGGTCCCCAAGAGAGGCCCAAGAGAGCCCCAAGACGGCCCCAAGAGCGCCCAAGACCGCTGGTTCCAAGAGACGAATTTGAATACTCTATAAGGGCAAGGCCAATTAAGTACCCACCCCTGCTTGATCAATCTCCTCCAAGATGGCTCCAAGAGCGCCCCCAAGGCTCCCAATAGCGCCCCAAGAGGGCCCCAAGAGGCGCCAAGGAGGCGCCAAGATGCCCCCAAGAGACTTCCAAGAGGCTCTCCGAGGCACTTAAGACGCTCTAAGAGGCGCCTAGGACCGCCAAGAGGCTCCTAATACGCCCCAATCGGCCCTCCAACTCGCAATTTTCCTGTTCCTCTTTCTCTTCTTCTTCTCCTTCTCATCCGCCTAGTCCTCTTCCTCCCTCCTCCGTCCTAACACATCGCCGAGCCGTTTAGTGCCGTGTCCATGTGCCGCGCCTGGTTTCCAGAATGTGGAAAATGTGCCTTGCCGTGCCCGCGTGCTTTGCGGTGTTGTGCTGTGTTTGCAGAACACGAAGAACTTTATAATGCGAAGGACCATGCAATGCCCTGCGTGGTTTCACAATGCGAGAGACGTTGCCGTGCTGTGCCGTGCCTAATTCTCGACATGCGAGAACTTGCCGTGCCGTGCCATGCAATGCCTGGTTCGCAACACGAGACATTGCTGTGCCGTGCCGTGCCTGGTTTTCAGCATGCGACGAACTTGCCGTGACGTGCTGTTCAGAAAATGGAACAAGCTGCCTTGCCGTGCCGTGACGACCATGAGCCGCCTTCCCTTTCAGCATTGTACGCATCCTGAAAGTATGCGTGTGCGCATCCAGGAGGAAATCCGCTCCCCCAGCCCTCCTCCTCCTCCTCCTCCTCCTCCTCCTCCTCCTCCTCCTCCTCCTCCTCCTCCTCCTCCTCCTCTTCCTCCTCCTCCTCCTCCTCCTCCTCCTCCTCCTCCTCCTCCTCCTCCCCCCCTCCCCCTCCTCCTCCCCCTCCTGCACTTGATCCCTCCTCCCCTCTCCTGCTCACCCCCCTTCCCTCCTGAACGTCTCCAGGTTGCTGACGGGAGCGATCGTCTCGACGCCGACCTGGAACTCGGTGATGGAGACCACCCCTCGGCCCGCGGCCCCTCCACGCGAGCCCGCCGCGCTCTCCTCGGCGGTGCTCTCGCTCCGCCGCCCCCCCCCCCCGCCGCCCAGTCTGCTGCCGTCGTCGTGGTCGTGGTCGTGGTCTTAGGGCGGGAGGGGGGGTAGTCGATTGCGGCTCACCCCTCGAAGGCCACGATCCTCGCGAGAGGGGCGTCGAAAAGTGGCCCTCCCCTGGAGTGCTATGGTGGCTCCTTCCGGGACCTTGCCGGGGTACTCTTCGTCCGGGGTCGGGGTCGTGGTGGTCGTGGTGGTGGTGGCGGTGGTCGTCGCCGTCGCCGTTCTCTTCGTCGTCCACCTCGTCCTCATCGTCATCCCTCCTGCTGGGAGTATCGGGGAGGCTTCCTCGCTGCACCGGAGGGGAGTGGGAGGGGAGGGAGTGGGAGTCCGAGGAAGATGAGGGGAGGAGGGGGAGGAGAAGGAGGGGGGGAGTGGGAAGGGGAGAGCGAGCAGGAGATGGGAGAGAGCATGATCCACCGCAACTTTACTGTGGAAAATTCCCCCCCTGCTGGACCCCCCCCCCCCTTCCCCCCCGGCAAAACCCCCCTCCCTCCCCTAACCTCCCCACCGCCCCCCCGCACTCTGGAAAACCGAGGGGGGGGGGGGTCACTACCGGTTCGAACCCCCCTCCGGAAAACCGGGGGGGTCACTACCGGTTTGGAACCCCTCCCTCTAGAAAACCGAAGGGGGTCACTACCGGTTCGAATCCCCCCCCTGCTCCAGAAAACTGGGGGGGGTCACTACCGGTGCGAACCCCTCCCCCCTATCCCCCTCTCCAGAAAACCGGGGGGGACACTACTGGTTCGACCCCCCCCCCTCCAGAAAACCGGGCGGGGACACTACCAGTTCGAACCCCTCCCCCACCTTTCCAGAAGACCGAGGGGGGCCACTACTGGTTAGAACACCCCCCCCACCCACACTCACCCCCGGCAAACGACTCCCGGGTCCCCACCACCGTCCGCACCAGATCCCCCACTGATGTCCCCATGACCACTGTCCCCACCACCACTGTCCCCACTGTTCCCACCACCGTCCCCACTGTCCCCACCAGTGCCCCTACCACGGTCCCATTCTCTCCACCACTGGCCCACGGTCCCCACCACTGTCCCACTGTCCCCACTGTCCCCACCACTGTTCTTACTACGGTCCCATTCTCCCCACTTTCCCCACGGTCCCCACCACTGTCCTACTGTCCCCACTGTCCCACTGTCCCCGTCGCTGTCCCACTGAGCTGTCCCACTGTTCCCACCACTGTCCCCACTGTCCCCACCACTGTCCCCACTGTACCTCTGTTCCATTGTCCCACCACCGTCCTCGCCACCGCCCTCACCACTGTCCCTACCACCACCGTCCCACTGTCCCCACCACCGTCACCACCACTGTCCCAGTGTCCCCACTGTCCCCACCACTGTCCCACTGTCCCCGCACCACTGTCCCCACCTCCACCGTCCCCACCACTGTCCCAGTGTCCCCACTGTTCCCACCATTATCCCCGCTGTCCCCACCAGTGTCCCCACCAGTGTCTCACTGTCCCCACTATCCCCTCCATTGTCCCACCACGGTTCCACTCTCCCCATTGTCCCCAGTGACCGCCACTGTCCCACTGTCCCCACACCACTGTCCCCATCACCACCGTCCCCACCACTGTCCCACAATCCCCACCACTGTCCCACTGTCCCCACTGTTCCCACCGTTGTCCCCGCTGTCCCCATCAGTGCCCCCACCAGTGTCTCACTGTCCCCACTATCCCCTCCATTGTCCCACCACGGTCCCACTCTCCCCATTGTCCCCAGTCCCCGCCACTGTTCCACTGTCCCCGCGCCACTGTCCCCATCACCACCGTCCCCACCACTGTCCCACAATCCCCACCACTGTCCCACTGTCCCCACTGTTCCCACCATTGTCCCCGCTGTCCCCATGAGTGCCCCCACCAGTGTCTCACTGTCCCCACTCTCCCCACCATTGTCCCACCACGGTCCCAATCTCCCCATTGTCCCCGCCGCTGTCCCACTGTCCCCACTGTTACCGCCACTGTCCCACTGTCCCCCACTGTCCCCGCCGCTGTCCCACTGTGCTGTCCCACTGTCCCCACTGTCCTCACCACTGTCCCACTGTCCCCACCACTCTTCCCCACTGTACTACTGTCCCACCACCGTCCTTACCACCGCCTTCACCGCTGTCCCCATCATTACCGTCCCCACCACTGTCCCACTGTCCCCACCGTCCCCACCACTGTCCCGCTGTCCCCCCACCACTGTCCCCACCACCACCGTCCCCACAACTGTCCCACTGTCCGCACCATTGTTCCACTGTCCCCACACCACTGTCCCAAAACGGCCCTGGGAGACAGAAACGAGCAAAACACCTTCTCGAACCCAACGCCTTGAACCTCTTCCCCCCGCCCTTCCTGCTCGCTGGAGCCAATGCTGGGCCACCTCAGACCCCCAGCCGGCTCCAAGCAGGAAGACTTCTAAGCAGCCTCCTGCCTGCTCAGAGCGCCGCCTCCCTCGCGCCGCCGCCGCGCGGCGCGCCGCCGACGGTTCGAGCAGGGAAGGCCCTGCGGGCCTGCGCCCCAGAAGCACCCCCGCCCTGGGCGCGGACGTCGGCCACGCGCAAGGGTGACCACCCTAGGTGACAGTGGCCTTTGGTGCGCGCGGCTTTCGGTGGGCTCGGGGGGGGGGGGCACACCCAAGCGCGCAAGCCGCTGCCATCGCACCGATTTCAGCGATCGGGGTCCCCAGTGTGCCCGCACCAAAGGCCACTCCGGTGTTTGGACGCCCGAAATGGGTACGGAAAAGATGGGTACAATGCCCAACAACAACTGTTGTCCCAAAGCAACAGCGGCCGCTGAAGGGCAGGCGGCCTTCTGTCTCAAGTGGACACAGGCCGCGGCGACACCGACAGCGAGTCCTGTTCAACATGAACAGGAACTGCTGCTGGGCATTGTGCCCGTTCTGTCCGTACCCATTTCGTTCGTGCCGACGGTGAGAGGGGTCGCTCTTACGCGCGTGTGGCCGGAGCACCCCAGCCCCGGGCGCTGCAGGCTGCAGCGGCGGAGCCCGGGCCCCTCCGTCGTTGCTGGCGTCGAGGAGCTCGAACATCAGGTGCGCCTGGCCGCTCGCTCCAGAGGTCGGCGGCCAGCCCCAGGGGGGGGAGCGAGAGACCTCCTAGATTGAAGTCGGGCCTGTCCCCCTACAGGAGGATTTTGGGCGAAAAATTAAAGATACCCCAAATACCCCAAAGATGCCCAAAAATACTCAAAAAAAAAGTTCCCAGACTATTTTTTGACTATTTTTCCATATTCCGCCTGCAAAGGGACAGGCCCGTCTTAAGAGTAGATGCGCTCGGAGGATCGCGCCGCATCGCCGATACATCGGCGATGCATCGGCAATGCATCGGCGATCTTTGCGATGCGTCGGCGTCGTCGGCGTGGAGAAGATCGGGCTCCACATCGTGCCGCATCGGCGATGCGGCGCGATCCTCCGACCCCATCTGCTCCGACCCCATCTCGGAGGCGTGGAGAAGCGAGAAGCTGCGGGCCCCCGCAGGAGGCTCGGAGGCCCCCCCGCCTTGCGAACAAACACATCCTGAGCCTCCCCCGAAGGCGCAAGGGGCACTTCTCGGAGGGCGTTTGCCGGCAGGGGCACTTCTCGGAGGGCGTTTGCCGCCGAAGACTGGGCGGGCCTGTGGCACCGGCCAGAGGGGGTCGGCGAGCGGTTTGCTGCCGCCTTTGGCCAGGCGGGGAGCGGCCAGGTGCTGCCGCAGTGGGCCGCCAGTGCTGCCACAGCGCCCCGCGCAGGGCCGCTGCCTCCCTCGGTGGTAACTCATGGCAGCCTCCCACACCATCTTGCTGGCTCTTGCGAGCCGGCGCTGGCCGACGCTGATCGACGCTGGCCGACGCTACATCGACGCTGCATCGACGCTGCATCGGCGAAATGTCTCATCGATTGCCAAACGCTAGCGCACGCGCACGCAGCCTGGAGACGGGGTCACGAGGACATGCGAAGCTCCCGCGATCTGATGCCGAAGCCTCCGCCGGAGACGCTTTCCGCGAGAGGGATTTCGCACGTCTCTTGCACGCACTCCCCGCGCAGACGTAGTCCTGAGATGCACCTCTGCCTGCTGCCTCGCCTGCCCGTGCACCGCTATGACCTTCCAGTGCGTTCAGCAGTCGTCTTCGAATTGAATTAACTAAGCCAACTATCAAGTGTCCTCCTCCTCCTCCTCCTCCAACTCGCCCTCCTCCTCCTCCTCCTGCTGCGGCCCGGGGGGGAAGCCGCGCAGGCCTGCCCCCTCGCGAACGCGCGCCAAAACACAACGAATGATCTCGCAATTCCACCAGGAAATCGTACGGACCTGTGTGCGATCTGTGTGCGACGCGGGCTGCCGTGGCAAGGGCCAGAAGCTTGGTCTGCCTGCGAGCATGGGGCAACCCGTGGACACAGGATAAACATGGCGGTCTCGCGACTTGCTTTTGGGATGGCGCGGGAAATGCTGCGTCAAGTTGCCATGCAAGCGAATTGTATGTCCACTGCCAAACACCACATCTATCGTTTGACACGCGCTTTCCTCATCTGGAGGCTGGCTGGGATCTCGTCCGCTGAAATGATAACTCAACCGAGAACGTGTTGTGCGCCATGCCCCGTGTTTGAAAAGGACATCTTAGACATTGAGCAGCGTGCTGCGGTTCAGCCAACGAACGAATTCAATTTTGAGAGCCATACCTTGGGCCGCTGAAGTATTGTCACCGCCAGCTGTAGAACACTTCCTCGCTTGCAAGAAACATATAAGCTCATCGACTGTGAGTTTGACGTGCGCGCGCGCTTGCGCGTATGTGCGCGCACGCTGTGTGCATTCCCCAACCAATGCTTGCACTAAGGGGTTCTTGCCTGATTGTTGGATAACTGGGTGGGCTCCTCGGGTCAACGCCCGTGGGCGCCCCGTGCGCTGGCTTGCTGGCTTGTTCAGGTTTTCTCACGGTGGGCGCCTGGGGGGCGCCTTGGGCGCACTTTGCATTGGTTGGCGTTTCTGGATGAAGGTCGAAGGTCGAAGGTTGGCGTGCGCCGGAGCGCGCCCTGCTCGGGCTGCCGGAACGCTGCTTCTCACACGTTCTCTCAATCCCAACTTCTTAACTGCTGATGACGTCGTCGGTCCAACGTTTTAGCGGCCGGCCTGGCGCCCGGCGCCCGGCGTTTCTGTATGACGCACTCGAAAATTGCAGCCCGTTGGTTGGCCACACAAATTGCGCACCAGAACTTGCACAACATAGTTTGCACTGCATGGGTTGCACATGTCGATTCCCCTTTCAAAGGTAGGATCGTACACGTTACAACTGACTCTGACTCATCGTCCATTTTGCACATGGGACCGCACCATCCATCCCCGCCAAGGCGGTATTGACCCCCTCATCCCTGTCACATAATGCAATGCAGTCGTACTCTTTTATCGTTAAGGACATGCTTCGGTAACCTTTCGCAAAACAGTACCGCACAATACACAAGCACGCGTCCATGTCGAAATCCGACCCAACACATCGGTTTTGCAAACGTATGAACATCAAACCTGTGACACATGTGGGGTCACATGGTTTTGCAATGGGCATCTTGGACATTTGCTGCCCGTGAACACTTGTTGAAAGCCTGATACAACCACATGGTTTTAACAATCCCGTCCAGCTCCCGCATTCTCATGCCACCACGCGGTGCGTTCGCGTTGATCTAGCATGCGCCCAACGCGCGAAACCGTACCAATTTTAATCATGCGGGCCACATGCGCGCGCCGCCGCGCCCGCGGGTCGAAATCTTTCCCGAACCATTGGTTTTCGACGAATTCGCCGAACCTTCTCGAACAGATGGAGGGGCTGATTTTGTTCCAACCAAGAACTGTTAACTTTCCACAACTGCGGCGCGCGCACTTCCTCATCATTTCATCAGTTCGATTGTATCAGCGCTGATGCAATTTTCCTTCATCACCGCTAATGCCGCCATCACCATCACACCACCCCCAGCACCAACATCTGGACATCATCGTCGTCACCCACATCGGCGCCGCCGTTGGCCTTGCGCAGTCATCCTTATCGTCATCATCGCCACCACCACCGCTAATGTCACCATCATTGCCGCCATTATCGACGTCACCATGGTATCGTAATCGCCCGAATCGCCGACCCGCCCTGACGTGCCCGCGCGCCACCGCGGCCTTTGAGACGCGCTTGGCAATTCCATCGGTAAGCGCCATCGCGGCCGCATCACTTGTTCCCAAATAGCTGGCCGATCTGAGCGTGAACGTGCGCACGCCAATGCGGTCGTAGAGTCCCGCTAGCAAGTTTCAATTGGGAACACAAATCGTGGCCGAATGGGTTTTGCCACGGAAGTTGCGGGTGGGACGGTGGGATGTTTGCACGAGCATTTTAATCTGCACTTTTAACTTCGCCGCATAGCTTGTACCACACAAACCTCCGTTCCCACAAGGAACCAGCATTTATCTCCAGCCCGAGGCCAGCGCTATCGCCCCTCCCCTCTGCGTATGTTGTTTTCATGTTTCTTCTGCGGGATCGTTCATCCTATATACCAGGTCTGCATCATTCTATCCGAGCTAGTCTCGCCTCCCGAGCAGCCTCCGACAAAAATAACATGTTGTGCACCCGCGCGGATCTAATACGTGCGCTTTGGACCTGTCCTTCAAATAGCGCAATGTGCGCCACAAGGGCGCGACCCCGCGCGCACATGACAATCATGCAACCATCATCGACCGTCGAATCAGTTCCATACGTGTGCATGTTTTTCGAAGACAATCCGGATATTTTTGGAGCCCGCCGAATCTTGCTAGATGTCTGCGCGCGCACTCGCTGCAACCATGAATTCGATATAGTCTTTTGGCAATTCTGTCAAGGGGGGCCATGCGGGTTACACGCGCGTGCACGTTGAAAACCTTCCACAGTCATGCCGCACCCGTCAATCTGTTCAAACATGCAATGCGGGAAACACGGGCGCGTTTTCAGGAGCGCACTTGAAATCCTTACAAGGCTATTGGCTTTCCAAGCGTTTCCACACAGATGTAATGAAGCCCATACGGAAGGCAAATTGTTTCGTCTCACAAAGAGATATGCCAGGCATTCGGAATTTCTGCGCACAAACTTCCCCGTCATCCTTATCATCACCCTCGTTATCATCATTGCCAACGTCATCACTGCCATCGTCATCATCAGGAACATCATTACCACCATCATCATCATCGTCATCGCAATCGTCAAAGTCGTCATCGTCGGTGTCATCGCCTTCGTCATCCTCGCAATTACCAACACCGTTACCATCGCCACCATCACCATCACCATCACCATCATTATCATCATTATCATCAGCATCAGCATCAGCATCAGCATCAGCAGCATCATCATCATCATCATCATCATCATCATCATCATCATCATCATCATCATCATCATCATCATCATCATCATCGGCGTCGTCGCCGATTTCGCTGTCACCATCATCACTCGCCCGCCCAAATCATGGATCTGCATGAACAGGATGCGGGCGTCACTGCGCTGGTTGATATCCGCGAGCAAGTCCCTCCCGATTGGCAGCGGCAGTCACTGCACGACTTCGGTCGAACGGTTGCGGGTGAGAATGTGTGGGATGCTTGCACGAGGAGTGGAGCGGACGACGTCAAGCTCTTCCTACACAGTTGCCCCACAGACGCTGTACCAGCTAGCATGCAACACACGGCTTGCACCACATGCTTTGCACCACGTCGATGGGAACCGATACATCACACCCCGCATGCGCCACCGTGCCACGGGCACCGAGTGAATTCTTCGAGGGGCCACGGCCCCAAGGTTCCAGTCGCTCTTGGGCGCTCCCCGGCGCTTCCAGGCATCGTCACGTGACCTTTGAAAGCCATTCTGCTTTCGTTGACCGCTTCTCGGGTTGGAAGGGGGAACACGAAATGCCCCCTGGCGCCCACTAGTGCCGGGATGACCCCCGAGATCGCCGATGGGGCCCCAGAGGCACCAAAGGGGCCCCGAGAGGCCTCCAAGAGGCCTCCAATAGGCGCCCAAGTGGTCCCCGAGAGGCTTCCAAGTGGCATCCGAAGACACTCCAAAAGGCACCCCAAGAGGAGGCCGCTGGGGGGTGCTCGCGACCTTGCGTGCCCGAGTCCGCGCCGCCGCCGCCGCTGGGGTTGCACGAACGCGCCATCGCCAGAGCAAGAGTGCGCGTGTGCGCATGGACGCCCTGCACGCCCGCCCACCTCGATCAGCCCACCACCAGCAAAGCCTGGTGGAACTCACGATGGCTCGTGCCCCATGCTGCGATCAGGCAAATTTTCTTAGCGTGTCGCGGCGGCGGCCCCGGCGACACGCTATGCCCTGCGAGCCGATAGCGTGTAGCTCCGCTCCACGGGGCGGAAGGCTGTGAACAGTTCGGGACGTTGATGCCCACGGACCATGACGTGGATCGCGCGTCGCACCGAAGCGCGGTGGGGCAGAACCAGCGGAGCGACACGCCAAGCCAAAGTTCCTGACCGTATCACTCACTGCCTTGACCAGAGGCCTCTAGATGGGGTCCGAGTAGATTGTGTCAGAGGATCGTCGCCGATGCGTCGGCAATACATCGGTGATGCATCGGCGACGTCGGCGTGGAGAACATCGGGCTCCACATCGAGCCGCATCGCCGAGGCATCAGCGATGCGGAGCGATCCTTCGACCCCATCTACTCGGACCCCATCTGGTAGGCCCAGAGTATCACTCGCTGCCTTGACGTCCTGGCGGGCGGAGGGCAATGGGCAAAAGTGCGCAATGGACGCGCGATATGCGCGGGTGCGGCGCAGACAGGGGAGGGTCGAGACAGGTCCGAGACCGGGCGGCGCAAGGACGCTCCGCACGCGCCTCTCGCGGGTTGCAGATCTCCGCCGCGACCATCGCTTTCTCCTCTCTCCCGCCCGCCGGGCTGTGTGGGCGGAGGTGCATCCCCTCCCCCCTTCAAAGACATGCTTCAGTCGTGAAACAATCGCGACGAACCGTCTATGGCTGTTTGCGGCCTCAAAGGGCCTTCGCCCAGCCCCAGGACCGTCAAAACACGACTCGGGATGAAAAACCAACGTCGGATGTCTGCGTCTTAATTCTCGGGAGCGCGCAAACATGGATTAGCGATCCATGGATTTGGTGCGCGGTCGCCAAATCCATGGATCGGGGGAGTTGCCCTCCCCAAAATGCGGCCGGTGCCGCCTCGGACGGCGGCAGAAATCCGCGACTCCCCATGGAAACGAGGCCCGTCGCTAATCCACGCCCCCTTGATCCATATTTGCGATCGCCTGAAGATCCTCCCTTGCCAGAAGGATGCGCGCCCCCAAACGCTTTCGAATAAGTAAAGGCAGGTAATAGGTAGTAGAGAGCCAGTACCAAGTAGCAGATAATAGAAAACAGGTAGCACGTCGTGAGTCGTGGGTCGCATGTGGTCGGTCATAGGTAGAAGGCATGGCTAGTGGAAAGTAGGTAGTAGGTAGTAGATACGAGATATGCGGTAGAGCACTCCCGCAACCAGTCCACACCAAGCTGGGCCGTCCAGCACCGCGTACAAGGGAGAGCTCTGGTGTTCGTCTGCCCTGGTGTGGCTCAGGAGCGCGAGCGAGGGCCGAAGGGTGCCCTCGGCAGGAGTGGAGCAGCAAGGAGAGGAGAGGGAGGAGGGAGAGGAGGAGGAGGAGGAGGAGGAGGAGGAGGAGGAGGAGGAGGAGGAGGAGGAGGAGGAGGAGGAGGAGGAGGAGGAGGAGGAGGAGGAAGAGGAGGAGGAGGAGGAGGAGGAGGAGGAGGAGGAGGGGGAGGAGGAGGAGGAGGAGGAGGAGGAGGAGGAGGGGGAGGGGAGGAGGAGGAGAGGAGGAGGAGGAGGAGGAGGAGGAGGAGGAGGAGAAGGGGAGGAGGAGGAGGAGGAAGAGGAGGAGGAGGAGGAGGAGAGGAGGAGGAGGAGGAGGAGGAGGAGGAGGAAGAGGAGGAGGAGGAGGAAGAGGAGGAGGAGGAGGAGGAAGGAGGAGGAGGAAGAGAGGAGGAGGAGGAGGAGGAGGAGGAGGAGGAGGAGGAGGAGGAGGAGAGGAGGAGAGGAGGAGGAGGAGGAGGAGGAAGAGGAGGAGGAGGAGGAGAGGAGGAGGAGGAAGGGGGAAGGAGGAGGAGGAGGAGGAGGAGGAGGGGGAGGAGGAGGAGGAGGAGGAGGAGGAGGAGGAGGAGGAGGAGGGATGGAGGGACGAGGTCACTGGGAGGGTCTTTCTGGGCGCCCACCGCTCGCGAGACGTTCCCTCGGGGCCAAGCGGCAGCGCAGGGTAGGCACGGCGGTGGCAGAGAGAAGCGGGCGGCAACACACTGGTCTGTGCTACATACGGACAAGATCACCCTACCCATGCCATGCGCCTCGTATCTAGACGGGGGCGGGGGCAGCGAGGGGCAGCAGGAACGCTGCAGGGGAGAAGATCTAATCCCACCAGCCCTCTTGACGCGAATTGTTTGAAGCGTTCCTTCTTGCGACCCCCCTTCTTCCCCTCGGGGGAGGGGCTTGTCCCTCCTCCTACTCCCCCTCCCTGGACCTGGACGTGAGGTTTCGCGAGGGGCTGGAGCGTCCTTGATTTTTATTATGATTATGGCTACATTCTGGCCTCCTGGAGGGGCGACGCCAATCAAGGAACTCCCCTCCTTTGATCGATCTCCTCCAAGATGGTCCCTGAAGACCCAAAGGTGCCCCAAGACGGCCCCAAGAGGTGCGCAGGAGGCCCCAAGAGGCCCCCAAGATGCCCCCAACTGGGACCCCCAAAACGTCCCAAGAGGCCAACCCAGAAGCACCCAAGACGCCCAAATACGCCTCGGCGAACAAACCAACATCATTGATATTACGATGGTTTGGGCCACATTTTGGCCTCCTGAGGGGGGACCCTAATTAAGAAGGCCCCCCTCCCTTGATCGATCTCCTCCAAGATGGCCCCAACATGGCCCCCGAGGCTCCCAAGGGTGCCCCAAGACGGCCCTGAGAGGTGCCCTGGAAGCCGCAAGAGCCCCTCCCCCAATATGCCCCCAAGAGGCTACCAAGAGACCTTCAAGACGCCCTCAAGAGGCCCCCCAAACGCCCCAAGAGGCCTCGACGAGAAGATTAACATCATTGATTTTACGGAAAGTTTGGCCACATTTTGGCCTCCTGGGGAGGGCCCCAATGTACTACGGCTCCTCAATTGATCGATCTCTTCAAAGATGGCCTAAACATGGCACTCGAGGCTCCCAAGGGTGCCCCATGACGGCCCTGATAGGTGCCCCGGAGGCCGTAAGAGGCCCCTAAAAGGCCACCAAGACGGCCCCGAAGAGGCTCCCCGAAGACCGCCACGACGCCCCGATAGGCTCTCCAGAGGCCTTCAAGACGCCCCAACAGGCTCCTGGTACTGCCAAGATACCCTCAAGACACCCAAAGCGAACTCGAAGCAGCTCTCGGAAGAAATCCACAGAGACTCCGAGAGGCATCCAAGATGCTTCTGGCCTTTCTGCTCGCCCTCCTCCTCCTCCTCCTCCTCCTCCTCCTTTCTCCCTTTCCTTTCCACTCCGCTTGGCGCCATCCCCACGTCGGGGCGCGCGCCCGGCTGGGCTGCGCGGCGCGGGCCCTCAGAGGCCGGCGAGCTACGCTCGCGCGCTGCCCTTCCCCGCGGCCGAGGGCTCTTCGGCTGCATGGAGCCCGACGCTGAAGCGGGGGGCTCCGCACCTAGAGGCCCCGGGGAAGGGGTCGCCCGGCGGCCCCCCCAGGAGGTCGCTTTTGGAGCGCCGCGCGGGCGTGACCGCCCGGCAGCCCCGCTTTGGGCTGAGCCGCTGCCGGTGGGTACTCGGCCCGGAGAGGAAGGGCACGGCCCGGCGAGGACCGGAGCCCGGGCCAGGGGGCCGAGGGGCCGGACCAGGAGCACCACGGACCGGGGCCCAGGTGGGCCCGCCCGAGAGGCGAACGCCGGCCAGGCCACGGGACCAGGGGCCAGGGAGGGGGACGGGGGACGGGGCCCGAGCCCGTGGGCGGAAGCAGGGAGGCAGGGAGGAGGAGGAGGAGGACGGAGGACAGGAAAGCCGAGCCAAGCTTTCAGGGGGGCCCAGGCCCAGAGGGCGGTGTCCATGCCCATCCTCTCCGGCATACCTGCATGCTCCTCCACATCCCTGATCAGCGCAACTTGTCTGGGTATCCTTTCTCGACGAGCTGGTGGGGTTACGCGAAGTGTCCAGAATAGCAGAGCGTCGGGTGGCTGGCGAGGAAGAAACAGGACATGGCGTACAGTACACGCATACGATAAGAAATCTCGCAATGAGAAATCCAGGGACACATTCTTCGTCGAGATTTGAGCTTTCTGAGGTACCCGAAGTCCTTCAATGGGCCGCCAGAGCAATTGGGGGATAAAACACGTACGTGGAGCACCTACTGGCAGGCGGGCTCCTATTTGGATGTGCCTACTGTGTATGCTACCTCCATCGAGGATGATGTGCGCGCGCTTGGTATGGAAAAGCCCCGACGAAACAGCCAAAGCGCCCCCCTCCCCGGAGCGAGCCGCGGACTGCATCGTTCACACTTCTCCGACCACTGTTCTCCCTGTGCGTAGGAACCTTTCGTCACACCTCCCACCTCCTCCATCTCCGCTATCCTCCTCCTCCTCCTCCTCCTCCTCCTCCTCCTCTTCCTCTTCCTCCTTACCCACCTCGCCCCTCTCGCAAACGCCCGGTGCAATCAACAACGTCTGATCCATGTTAAGATCATCGTCGGGATCTGTCATCACAAGTTTGCTTTGGCCGTTGGTGGATTGGCCTTCCACCTCGTCCAAGGACCAGCGGCGGGAGGAGGAGGAGGAGGGGGAGGAGGAGGAGGATGCAATCCACCAGTCATCGTCCCCCCTCGCCTCGCCGTGCCTCCTCGCCTTCGCACCTCCCCATCCCCTCCCAGTCCATGCGCGCCTCTCTTCTTCCTTCCTCCCTGCGTCTCCCTCCCGCCTCTCTTCGAACTCCCTCTCCTCCCCCTCGCAATTACTCTGGGATTCTTAATAAGCGTGGGGGGGCGTCACCCCCGCCGACAGCCCCGCATCGACTCCCGTCACGGGCAGCCACCGCGCGCCGAAGGCGCTCCGAACCCCGTCGCGGCGCGACGACGCGGCGAGGTTGACCTCCGTCGGGGGGGTCCCCCCTCACGCTTAGTAATAAACCTAGAGTGCACAATATGAAGACTACTCTCCTCTCTTCCCTGACGACGTCCGGAAGACATCCAGCCCCCCTCCGCGTATGTTTTTTTGCACACAAGATTCCTGGGAATTGGGTTATCGCTCGGGTTTTGTTTTCAAAGTGCTGCTCCCGCTGAAGCGCTGGCCTCATTTTCGGGCTTCCGCTCGTTCCGAATCGTGCTCCCGCTGCAGCGCTGGCCTCAGTTCCGCGCTTCCGCTCGTTCCGACTCGTGCTCCCGCTGCAGAGCTGGCCTTCCTTCCAAGTAGGCCCAAAATCTAAAAAATGCCCCCCCCCCCCCCCCCGAAAGAACACCATCGGAAGTGATTACACATTCGGTATCGATTCGTTGACTTTTTGGGCCGCAGGAGCCCCTTTCAAGAAGCATCCAGCGGGAGCCCTGTTTCTGCTTTGAGAAGGCGATGTTGAAAGCAGAACCAGCGGGTGCTCTCCATCAGCCCCGCCTTGTGTGGAGCTTTTCGGGGAGCCCAAGGAGCTAGACATGGAGCCACGACCCCAGAGCGGCCCAGTCCTCTCGAAGATGATCCACTTACCCTCTACAGAACCTGGCGCCATGCCATGACATGCTGTGCGGTGTTGTGTTCTGCGCCGCTGTGCGATGCCATGCTTTGCGTTGCAATGCTGTGTGATGCAATGCTTCACTGCGCAATGCCACGCCGTGCTATGGCATGCTACGCTCTGCCGTGCTCTTCTCCGCCATGCTATGCCGTGCTCTACTATGCATAGCGTGCCCTCTCGCGATCATTGCCCTGCTCGACATCCGACTGTACGAATATAGAAAGGATATCTACGCCGTGGTAAGGGATGGGAGGGAGAGGTAGGACGTCAAATATGAAGCGAGCGCACCCAGCTTGCCCCCCCCCCCCTCCCTCGCTCCCTCTTCCTCGGCGCCTCCTCCCTCACTCCCTCCTCTGCCTCGGTGGCCCCCCCCCCTCCGCTCCTCTCCCCTCCACTCCCACCCGCGAGCTCTTGGCTCCCCGCCGCCCTCCCTCTTCCTCCCTCGGCGCCCCCCCCCTCCCCGCGATCCCTACTCCTCCTCCTCCTCCCCTCCCTGCTCGGTGCCCTCCACTCTCCTCCCCTCCCCTCCCGTTTCCGCCAGGCGCCGGACCTCACCGTCCCGTCCAGCATTTCGGGGGGGGGCTCCTGGGCCGTTTTGGGGGAGTTTTGAAGGCTTTCTGGGCCATCTTGGACGCTGTCAAGACCAAGGGAGCGATAATATTAACATTGTACGAGCACCTATGTGTTTGTGACAGATTCGGCTTCCCGAAGGCGTCCTGGAATGCCTCTTTCTTGGTGCCCCCTCGGGCCAAGACCCGCTTCTACCAGGACCCCATGTCGTGCCAATTCGAGCATCCCGTCCTCGGTAGAAGCGGGCCCCGCAAGAAGCCGGGCGGAACGGCCCTCTCCCCCTTTCGCCCAGCGTGGGAACCTCTGGAAGACTGCGAGGAACCTGTCGGAGAGCTTGAAGATATCGCCGCGCACCTTCGAACACGTCGTCGTCGTCGTCCTCCTCCTCCTCCTCCTCCTCCTCCCTCCACTCCTCCGCCCGTCCCCTCTGGGGGATGCCCCATCCGCACAGCCCCTGCCGCTCCCACTCGGCCAGGTCCAACTCTTCGCTCATGTCGGCGTCGATGTGGTTGAATGCCTCGTGGGTGCCGGCGCAAAGCGTTATTGATCCTCTTCCTTCTGCTTCTCCGTGCTACGCCTCCTGCTCCTCTTCCTTCTTCCCTGATTCCACATCCTCCGACTCCGGGAGCGTACGCACAGCGTCCTCCCCCTTCTCCCTCCCTCCTCCCTCCATCCTCCCCCCTCCTCCTCCGCCTCCTTCTCCTCGTACATCCCGTTCCTTAAGAGCATCTCGCTCTCGTTGCACCACTAGGCGTGTTGGAACTGCGGTCTGGACGTTTAGCCCGAGACTTCGAAACCGTGTGCGACCCAAAGCAAAACTTTCCCAACCGTTGCACGGATTGAGGGCGGATCGTGTTCAGCATGTGGGACTCGCCCTAGCGCCGCGTACGTTCGTCCTTAAATGTTACGAAAATCTGATACACGGAGGACGGCCTGTTTTTAAATTGTGGCTCTCGCCGCAGCGCTGCGCACATTCTTTCTTACAAGCTTCCAGTAATCACAAGGATGGAGGGCGGATCGTTTGCAAACTGTTCGCCAGCGTGGACCCCAAAGCAAGGATTTCGGACAGTGGATGCGGAACAATCTAAGTGGTGCAGTCTAGGTGGTGCAATCCATGCGGTGCAGTCTGCGCGGTGCAGCGCAATGCCAGGC